CTTTTGGCAGTCCACGGGATTTCAGTGTTCTTGTCCAACACCATAACTTAAAGGCATTGATTCTTCTGTCATCCTTAGTCATTCTTCAGCTCTCCCAGATGCATAGTAAGTGACTGAAAATAGCATGACCTGAATCAGGCACACCTGTCTTCAAACTGACATCGTTGTTAATCAATAATTTGGATAGGTTCCTGACTACAGACATATATTCTTACTGCAATATCCATCACATGTGACATCTTCATTAAGTCATTCATAAAGTTCTAAGACATCTGACAGGGGACCATAAATTAATCCAACTTCAAATGGTTGTAAGTAATATGGGTAAAATGATGACGATTAGAAGACAGAATGCCTTATCAAAGACTAATTTACAGAGCTTCTATTGTATGTGCTAATTTTGTTTAGAAAACCTTTTTATTTAGAGTGTCAGTAATTGCTAGTCTGTTTTGAAACCTGTGAAATATAGTAACTAGAAAAATAGTTTTTAATGTAGCACCAAAAAAAGTTTGGTTATTTTTACAACCTGTTTTTTTTTAAAATGATGAATGAAAATGGCTTTATTGCACTTTCCGATCATAAAAACAGTGGATATATAATGTTAAAGAAAAGATGAGGTTGGACCATAACCAAAAAGAAAATAAATCCTTAACTTGCAAGCTCTACGTCCCTTCTCAATACCCCCTTCCCCAAGCCCATGGTGGTGCAGACCACTGAATTTAGGGAGGGGAAATTGTGCAAGGGGAAAGCAGAAAAGGCCAAGAGTTAGACCAAGGCCTGTGAAGGAGATGGCTGGGGAGGTGCAGAGTAGGAAGGCGCAGACCCTTCCTGGTAATCTGAGAAGTGAAAACATACATGGGGCGGTAATGCCACTTGTGGCCCCTTGGATTGGAGAAGACCGAGTTGAGTGACAGGAGGTGCTCGCAGGGACACTGTGCAGAGTGGTGGAAAGGCTTGTCTGCAAACGTTTAAATAGAAATGGGGCGTTGGAGGGGTCCAGACGCACTGCCCGCCCCCCGTGGAGGAGGGGAAGGGCAAGCTCTTCGATGACGCGGGGCCCTCACGTGACCAGGACCTGCAGAGCGACGCAGCCTTGGGTGCAGTCGTCACTCCAGTCTGGGTACCAGCTCCCAGCTGCCTGGCTCACGGCAGGCTGGCATTGGGCCGGGGAAAGCGCAGCAGGTAAGGCCCAGGGACCACACTACTAAGGGAGCCGCAGTCGCGCACTGTCTCCAGAGATGGGTGCAGGGATGAGAGGAGGTAATATAGACTCAAGTTCCTCTGATTCTCCCAACTCTTCTGCTCCTCCCCCAAACTGTGTGCAAAGGAATGGTGAGTTTTGGGAGAATGGGGCGGTGTCTCTGTATGGAAATACAGATATTAAGGTGCCTGTCCTCCTCTCTGATTCTAATCACTGACTGACTGTACGTGTCCATTCCACCTCCTGTCTATTTTAATGGAAAAGACGCGCCACGGTGATGTTTGCAGAGAAATGGTGGGCCTTAGTGGCTGGATAGTGGGAAGAGTGGGAGTGATTTCTCAGAATGTGGGGAGGGATGTTTGATAAGCAAGTTCCTGAAAAGAGAATATTTGGATCTGTATCCTGGGTGCTGGGCTAATCCTTCAGTGCCTTTCCACTTTCCTGTCTGTCTCACAGAGTTTGGGGTAGCACCGTTTATGGCCAAGCAAAGAAAGGAGATGAAAAAATTGCCTAAGATCTGATGAGGTTAGTTTGAATGCAGACACTGTTAACCATTGGGTTTCAGTATACATGCTGTATGATAGGGATTAGGCGACACTATCCGGTTGGAAAAGGGGCATGGTGGAGTAGTCAGTAGCATTTGCACTACTAACCAGCAGGCGGCGTCTTAGGGCCGTTCGAATTCACCAGCTGCTCTCCGAGTGAAAACTGGTCTGTTACCTCCTGTAATAATTTACAGTCTTAGAAACCCGACGGAGCGTTGCTGTGAGTCAGAATCAATTCCGTGGAAGGGGATTTGGTTTGGTATCTGACTGGGAAGGAGCTCAAGTGGCAAGATACATGCTTAATGTATCCATCTCCTAACCTGAAAGATCAGCGATTTGAATCTACCAGCCTCTCTGTGAGAGAAAAGTTGGGCAGTTCTCTTCTATAAAAAGATTTACAGCTTTGTAACCCAATGGAGGGTCGTTATGAGTTGTGACCACTTGATGTCAGTGGGTTGGGTTTGGTATCTTTGAGGTGTGGGATGGAGCTGGCTAGGGAACTTACTATTATTGTAACAGTTTACAAATCATGTTGACTTTTCCTTTGATCATTTACATACATTTTTTATAATACTGTAATTACAATTTCATCCCAACATCTGTATGCATTACTTTAAAATTATAATTTATAACACTTATTACAATCAATTAATAGAATAAATTAATTAACTACAATACCTTGTCTTATGGCTTTATTGTATATTGGCTTTTGGTGAGGGGCCTTTTATTAGACTTAATTTACTGTTTTAGTTACCTAGTGCTGCTACAACAGAAATGCCACAAGTGATTGGCTTGAACATATTTTTTTCTCTCACAATTTAGGAAACTAACTCGAAATTCAGAGCATCGGCTTTAGGAGAAGACTTTCTTTCTCTGCCACCTCTGGAGGTAGGTCCTTGTCTCCTTTCAAATCTGTTGGCCTAGTGATCCTTGGAGATCTGTATGTATGTTGGCATCAATCTTCCCCTAAGAGGTTCTTAGCACAGGGATCTTGAGTCCAAAGGAACATGTTCTGCTCCTATCTCTTCCTTTTTGGTGATAGGTTTTTCACACCCTGAGTACCTCAGGGTACTCCACTCTAATCCACTTATAATTGATTGGCTGATCACATCAGTATCATGGAGATAATGACATAATTCTATAACTGACAAATTACATCATTACATAACTACCACACTACTGATTATAATGCTCTAGTCCAGATGACACATATGTTTGGGAGACAAAATTGATTTTCTGACACTGATTAGACTTGGGAATTTTCACTTAGGTGTATGTTGATGAACAATAAAGATACCAGATTTTTCTATAGATGCTTTTATTTGCACTTCAGATAATATTAAAAGAAAATAACAATTGCTGTAACAAACTATATTATTTTGTGTGTTTGGGGGTAGAAGAGTTGTGATTTACAGAAGTCAAAGGCCTCCCCAACACCTTGTCTCCTCTCTTGCTGGAGATTCTTGGGGATGATAGCTTTAGGGGGAGCAGATGGCAGAAGGCTATGATTCTAGATTATGGGATCTAGGAGCTTTCTTGTCTTTTATCATCCTCTAGTATTTTCACATACTCTCACCTACCTGATTGTATTGATTAGGGAAATGGGCTTTTAGGAGAAAGCTCTATGGGTGATTTTTTTTTTAAATTTTTTAAAGTGCCTTTCTTGTTTCCCCTTTTTCTTTTTCTGCCTCTCTTTTCCACTTTGCCTGCTTCAGTATGGGGAAGACTAGGTTCTGTCTGCCAGGGAAATGAGTTTCTGAATCCTAAAAGGAATGTATGGAAACCCATATCTGAGGTTGTCACACACACTCAACATCTGTGCTTTCCCCCCCTCTGTTCCTAGGTCTTTTCAGAGACCTACAACTGAGTGTTTTTCCACTGGCAATAAAAGAAAGATGGAGAATCTAACTTGAAACTATGGAGTTTGGTGTAAATGTGGATAGTGCCTGGAGTGACAAAAGAAGGTGGATGTAACAGGTGGCTGAGCCTTAAGAGTGACTCACAGGAGAGCTCTTCTGCCTTTCTTACACTCTGCTGAATTTCCATAGTGCTGCCATAATCCTTATTGAGTTTGGTACAGGAGATGGTAGATTGTTGGGTTAAGTGTGGACTGGAGTGTGACTGCGAGAAGATTTGTGAGGAAGACCACAAGGTGGAGCACATTAACAAACTGGACCAGAGGTCTGGAAGGGCAGGTTCTGGGGTCAGGAATCAGTGTGCCTGTCTGTTCCACCAATAAATCAGTCTTCATTGCCTCTTTATTTATTTATTTGTCTATAGATTGGCACCACTGGAAGTAAAGCAACAAGAGGAAATCACCCCCACACCCCCATCAGTATAGCCTGGTATAGATAAACACCATAGTTAGTCAAGAAGGAGGACATTTTACTCTTAAATAATCCCTGGATCACAAAATTGTGCCTCTCTATTTGTAGGGTGGTTTGGTGATCAATGTATACCCAGCAAGGATTGATATCTATTACAGAGGAGCCTCAACCTTTTCTTTTTCCAGCTATGTTCTCTACCACCCTTGTCATCTGTTTCAACTCCAACCTTTACCTTTGTTTTCATACAGGGAAATGAGCGGCAGAATTTGGTAGAGTAGGGTGAAATGAGGGGTATAGAAAGGTAATTTGCTAATAATATGCCTATCTCATAAAGAATAAAATCTCTACTCCCATTCCTACATTCTATGTGTCTGTCTCTAGGTCTAAAGATCTTTTGAATGTGTAGATCTGCTTTCAGTCAAAGGAAGGGAGTTTCCTCGGATCATTACAGGTTAGTACGAGGATGGGGTACTACGGGAGTGATAAGCAGAGTCCATCCAGTAAAAACCAAGGTCTGGAGGCTTTTGCATTCCCCACCCAAATCCAGTTCTCCTACCATCTTGTCCACTGGTCATTTGGTGTGGGGATACATGTATGGAACCACCTTGTGGGAAAGTTGTTGAGAATTGGGGAAGTTAGGGAGGGGATGAAATTAGAGGGATGGAGAGTGTGCTAATCATCCAAGTCTTCTACCAAATATATGATTTCTTCTTTTCCTGTGCCTCTATGTATCTATCTGTATGATGAAACACATTTAGAAGAGATTTTTTAGTCTCATTTCCTTATTCTACTCCTAGGTCCACCTCCAGTGAGAGTCATAGTGACCTTTGAGTTGCTGAAAACCTACATTCAGACCTACCACCTTCTTTCCCCAGCCTGAGTGAACATTCTCTGTACCTTGTTCGTGCCTTCAGCAGAGGTGATTACATGGGCCGCATTCAGGAAGTAGGCTGGGTGACTGCAGGACTGGTGATTTGGGCTGGCACCTGTTACTACATTTACAGATTAACCAAGGGAAGATCCAAGAAGGTGAGGAGACTACCCAGAAATGAGTCCAGACTCAAGAAAAAAACTGTGGTTGGGGTACGGAACCAGACTTTGGCCACAGCTGGGGCAGAGATTAAGACTAAATCTAAGATCGAGATTGGAGCAGAAATGGGAGCAAGAGATGGGACTAGAGCTGAAGTAGCCCCAACCACTGCTAGAGCTGGACCGAAAGCCTGCTTCCAGTCCAAGACAATGACTGAGATAGAGAACAAGGCAGAAACAGAGTATCAGCCTGAGGCCAAAGTTATTGTTGGAACAGTGGTCAAGACAGAGGCCTTGACTCTGAGTAGGAACAAGGCCAAGGTGAGGGAAATTTCCAAGAAAACAATAACTCAAATGAAGGCTGAGTCTGAGAAAATAGGAAAGAAAGAAGCAGTGGCCCAGACCAAGGCTGAAGCTTGGGCACTAGCTGCTAGAGCAGAGGCGAACAATGAAGTAATGACCCAAATCAAAGCTGAAGCTCCTACATTGGTTATAAAAGAAACTGAGATAAAAAGAGTAATGGTGGCCAAGATGGGAGCTGTCAACAAGACTGTTGCTGCTTTTGAGATCAATGCAAAATCTATGGAAGATACGGGGACTGTAGCCAAAACTTCATCTGAGACCAGTCCTGGTGCTGGGGTTTGTGCAAAAGGACATTCTAATGTTAAGTCTTCAATAGTGACAGGAGTGGGCATGAAGACTTGTGCACAATCTCAGGCTGTTCACAAGATCCAGGTTGAGGACATACCTAGTGCCAGAACTGAAGCCAGGAAGAATTATAAAACTACACCTAGGACAGGGTCTGTGGCAGACATGAAAGCTTCTATTCAGCCTCCAAATGTTGCTAAGGCACAGGCTGTGGGCATGCCTGCAGCAGAGGTTGTTGCAGAGAATTGCACAATGATCATGTGTAAGACAGACACTGAGACAAATGTGACAACTCATAAACAGCCTCAGATTGTGATCAAGAAACAGACTGAGGCTATGTCTGGTGCTGGCAAGGGAAATACTAATGTCATATCTGAGACAATTGACATGAACTTTGCTGTTCAGCCTCAAGCTGTAGCTGGTACTCAGGCTGAGGCCATGCCTGATACCAGAGTTAAAACTAGAGGCAAACACAAGGCCACATCTAAAGCAGGGGCCAGAGTAAATCTGAGGAACAACATCCAGTCTGAGACCTTGCCTAATGTCAGGGTTAAGAGTAGAGACAATCTTGGTGCTATGGAAGAAACGGAAATAGACATATTATCTTGTACACAACCTCTACCTGTGGCCAATGTCCAGACTGATGCCTTGTCTGATGGCAGAATTGAAGTTGGGGCCAATAATAATTCCATATCTAAGGAAGGATCTGGAGTAGATATAAATGCAAAGCTTCAAGCTACATCCCCAAACCAAGTTGACACCTTATCTAGTGCTAAACATAAACCTAGAGGCAAAGGCAATGCTAAGTGTAAAGTTAAGGTTGGGTTAGACATGAAAACCTTGGCACAACTTCCAGCTGGGAACAAAATCCACACTGAGCCTCCATTTGATTCTAAGGTTGATACCAAAGGAGATTCTAATGCTATTTCTAAGACAGGGGCTAAGACTGAGACCTTGCCTGTTGACAAGAATAAGTCCACAGGCAATCCCAATGCTGTGCCTAAGGTAGAGGCTGGGACAGATACACGTGACTTGGTGCAACCTCTGAGTGTAGCCAGTACACAAGTTGAAGCCTTGCCTGGTGGCAAGAATAAGGGCAAATACAAATGTAATTCTATATCTAAGGCAGAAACTGGGGCAGATACAAAGGACTCGGTCCACCTTCAGACTGTAGTTAATCCTCAAGTAGAAGCCTTGCCTATTGGCAAAAATAAGGCCAAGGGCAAACGCAATGCTGCATCTAAGACAGAAGTTGGAGCAGAAACAAAAGATTCTATCCAGCCTCTGACTGTTGCTGGTACTCAGGTTGAAGCCTTGCCTGATGGTAGGAATAAGGCCAAGGTCAAATGCAATGCTGTATCTAAGGCAGAGGCTGTGGCAGAAGCAAGGGTCTCTGCCCACCCTCAAACTGTGGACAATTCCCAGGTTGAAGCCCTGTCTGGTGGCAAGAATAAGGCCAAGGGCAAACATAATGCTGCATCTAAAGTGGAAGTTGGGACAGATACAAAGGATTCTGCCCAAACTCAGACTGTGATGAGTACCCAGGTTGAAGTCTTATCCAGTGGCAAGAATAAAGCCAAGAACAATCACAATGCTACACGTAAGAAAGAGGCTAGGGCAGATACAGGGGACTTTGCTCAACTTCAGACTGTGGCCATTTCCCAGGTGGAAGGTGGGCCTTGTGACAAGAATAAGGCTAAGGATAATTCTAATGCTGTGTTTAAGGCAGAAGTCAACAAAGATAAAGACTCTGCTCAACCTCTGACTGCAGCCAGTTCTCAAGTTGAAGACTCTACTCACACTAGGGATAAGAACAGGAGCAATATCAGTGCTGCATCTAAGGCAGAGGCTGGGACAGATACCGGAGGCTCTGGCCAATCTCAGACATCAGCCATTTCCCATGCCAATGACTTGACTGGTGCCAGGAATAAGGTCAGGGACAATTCCAATGTTTCATCTAAGGTAGGCACAGAAGACTTGGCCCAACCTCAGACTGTGGCCAGTTCCCAAGCTAAGCCCTTGCCTGGTGCAAAGGACATGACAATGCTCAGGTTTGGGGCAGAAGGCACAGAAGATATTGATGTCTATACAGATCCTGATGCTGAAGCTATTCCTGCTTCTGAGAGTGAGGCCCACAAACAGACTCAACCTAAGGTCCATCACTATTACTGGGATGAGATTGGTGTTGAGGATTGGATTGCTGCTGAGCGGTGGATCAAATTCAGGTTTCAGGCCAGGGATGGATACTGGGAGAATAGCATGTCCTGGGCTGGGGATGAGAATGAAGGTAAAAATGAATCCTGGAGTGGCACCAACAATAAAGCTGGTACTGGTATTAATAGGCTCTGGGATATGACTTGTGATGAGAGGAGCATCAAGTCATGGCCTAGGACTGGTGACCAGATCAGTGAAGTGTCCTGGGTCACTGGGAACAGGGCCATTGGAGAGTCCTGGTCTGGGACTAAGAACCAACCCAGTAGAGTGTCTTGGACTGGAGGCCAAACCAATGGAGGACCTTGGGCTGGGCCTGAAGATCTGCCTGTTGGCAAATTCAAGTCTAAACTTGAGGATCAGGCCAATGGAGGAAGTTCTTGGATTGGAAGTGATGATCAGGTAAGTGGAGGACACAAGTTGGAGCTAGCGGATCTGTCTAGAGGTAGTTCCTGGCCTGACATACGGAATCATGCCATTGGAACATCCTGGATTGGAACAGAGGATCAGGCTGGTGACTGTTCTAAATATGTATTTGAGGATCAAGCTGTTGGAGGAGTGCCCTGGGCTGGTTCTGGGCATGGGAATGAGGCTAGTAGGAGGTCTAAGCTGAGACCTGAGGACAAGGCCAGTGAAGGATGCTGGCCTAGAGCTGAGGACCAAGCTGATGAAGGTTCCAGGCTGGTGCTTGAGGATCAATACAATGGATGGATCTGTCTTTGTTCTGGGAATCAGGCTAGTAGATCTTGGATTGGAACTGGTGATCAGACTAGTGGAGGACTTGGGCCAGAGCGAGAGGATCAGTTCAGCAATGGTTCTTGGACTGGCCCTGGGATTCAAGTCAGTAGAGGATCCTGGACTGGAGGAGGTAGCCAGGTTAATGTAGGATCCAGGCTGGGATCAGATGATCAGTCTAGAGGTGTGGCCTGGCCTGCCACTGGGACTCAAGTTAGTGAAGACTTCTTGGTTGGGGCTCAGGCTGATTCTTCTAAACCTGGATTTGAGGAGCAGGGCTTTGGAAGAGGGTCCTGGGCTATGTCTAGCCCTGGGAATGAGGCTAGTGGAGGGTTGAAGTTGGGGCTTGAGGATCAGGCCATTGGAAGGTCTTTGTCTGAGGCTAGAGATCAGTCCAGTGGAGAGTCCTGGGCTTATCGTGGGGACCAGGCTGGTGGACAGTCAAATATAGGACCCTCAGACCAGTTTAATAGTGAGTGCTGGATTGAAACAGTGAATCAGGCTGATAACTGCTCCAAACTTGGATTTGAGAATCGGGCCAGTGGAGATGGGTCCTGGGCTGTATCTGGGCCAGTTGTCAGGCCTAAAACTTGGACTCAGGCCAAGGACCAGGCTAGTGGAGAATCCCAAGCTATGGCTGAGGTGGAGGCCAGCAAAGAATCCTGGTTTGAGGCTGGAAATGAGACTAGTTTAGGATCCTGGTTCTGGGATGAGGAAGAGGCTGATATTGTGTTTAGCTCTGGAAGTGAGGGTGAATGTAGATCAAGGCCTAGGGAAGAGACTATCATTAGTTCCAGTTTTGGGGCTGAGGACAAGGTGAGAAATGGGTCATGGAAACAATTTGATGATGCCGACTATATGGGTTCCTGTGCAGGGGCTGAGGCCAGGATGGAGTCTTGGTTTTGGAATGGAAATGCAACTACTAAAGGGTCTAGTCTTGAGGCTGAGGGAGAGCCTGACCTAGGGTGCTGGACATCAGCTAGGGATGCAAATGAAGGTGAACGAAGTAAAAGGTCCAGCCCTGATATTGAAGAGATTAGTTTAAGGTCCTTGTTTTGGCCTGAGAGTGAGGACAGTACTGAGTTCAGATCCAAGACTGAGAAGCATGTCAAATTTGAGTGTGAGGCTGAGGTTAAAGCTAAGGCTCAAATCAAGAATGAGCTCCAGGCTGCTAATGAAGTCAGTGAAATTTCTTTGCTTCCTGATGTGAACAGAAGCCCGGACAAATCTGTACCTAAGAGTCAAGCCAATGTATCAACTGAGTCAAGAGATACATATTCATCCATGGTCTCTGGCTCAGGAGTGGGGTCATGGGCTGGAGCCATGATTTGGACAAAAATGAAGTTTCCATACCCTAGTGAGTTTTGCTTCCCACCTGAAGAAGAACTCCGAAAGCAGATCAGGGCTGGAGAGAAGATTTGGCCCTGGGCCTGCCGTTGTAAGCGGGAAGCTAACATGGATTCCCGAGATCTTGAAAAGCTCATTGGCATGATCGAGATGTCAGAGGATCCTTCCATTCATGAAATTGCTAATAGTGCTCTTTTTAATAGTTCTAATGATTATCCCACCTCACAAGAGGCTGTTGATAATGTGAAAGGAATATCGATTATTGAAAGCTTGCTCAATAATCCTTATTCCAGTGTTAGGCAGAGGGCTTTAAATGCACTAAACAATATCTCAGATGCTGCTGAAAATCATAGGAAGGTTAAAACGTACATAAATCAAGTATGTGAAGACACTGTCACGTATCCTGTGAATTCAAGTGTGCAGCTAGCTGGACTAAGATTGATAAAGCACCTGACTATTACTAGTGAATACCAGCATATGGTTACAAACTATATTTCAGAGTTTCTTCATTTGCTAACTGTAGGAAGTGGAGAAACCAAAGACCATATATTAGAAATGCTTTTGAATTTCTCTAAAAATCCATCTATGACAAAAGACTTGCTTATCGCCAATGCACCAACAACACTAATTAACATTTTCAGCAAAAAAGAGACAAAAGAGACTATTCTTAATGCTCTTTCATTATTTGAAAATATAAATTACCATTTAAAGAAAAGAGCAAGAGTATTTACCAAGGACAAGTTCAGTAAAAATTCCCTTTACTTCCTATTCCAGCAACCTAAAGTATGTGCCAAGAAACTTTGCGCCTTAGCAGCGGAATATAATGATCCTGAGGTGAAAGAAAAAGTTGAACGTTTAATAAGAAAACTCTGAATGGCTGTATGGTTCCAAATATATTTTAATAATATTTTGGTTTAGCAGCCTAAAAGAAATGGACATTGTAAATGATATCATAACTTCAAGACTGTTGTCACCTACAATGGTCTATAGTGGAACCATTGTATGAACATCAAACAAATTGAAACTTGTAATGAGAATAAATGTATTGATTTTTATCTTGCTTGGATTAAGATATTTTTAGTATGCTTCATGAGCAGAAACTGGACTGATAATGTGTAAAATAATCTTGGTCCTTTGTGTGGACTTATGTTTATACATTTTAGACTTTATTTTTATGTTATCAATAAAGTGTGTTTTAAGAAGAAAAAAAGGAGGTATCATCTTTGCTTTTGAATGAATAATCTTTGGGAAGAAGAAAATGGGTGGAAACAAAAATAAGACTACTGCTGAATGCTCCCCATTGGTGTTTAGAGGAGGCAGCTGATATGGACAATAATACTCAGGAAAAGTTTAAACTTAAAAAGAAAGTTTAAACTTAAAAGCTTAAACTAAGCTTGAAGGCTAGAGTAAACAACTGGTCAGTAGGTTGAAGGTCATTATGGAGGGAAGAGTGGTAAGAAGAAAAACATAGAGGTGGGAACCCTGTTGCAGAGAGGACGCTAGCCTGCCTACAGTGCAAAGTGTCAGTTGTTCTTTTTGTTAAGTGCCATTGAGTCACTTGCAATTCATAGCGACCCTATATGTTACAGCTCTAACCTCTTCTCTATTCTGTGCCAGTATTATTGTTTCTGACACACCTTCCCCATTAATCAATCCATATTATCGAAGGTCTTCCTCTCTTGCACTGCCCCCCACCCTCCCAAGCATGATGTCCCTCTCCAAGCTCTCCAAGGACTGGTCCCTTCTTGCAACATGTCCAAAGTATGTTAGACGGAGCTTCAGTATCCTTGCCTCCAAGGAACAGGCTATCCTCACCCACTCTAGAATGAACCTGTTTGTTCTCCTAGCAGTCCATGGTATATTCAATACTCTTCTCCAACACCACAGCTCAAAGTCATTATTTCTCCTTTTATCATCCGTAGTCATTGTCCACCTTTCTGATGCATAGCAAGTAATTGCAAAGAAAGGTGACTCAACAGAATGTGGAAACTATAGAACAATCTCATTGATTTCACACACAAGCAAGATTTTACTGAAGATTATCCAAAAACGACTGGAACAGCACATCAACAGAGAACTACCAGAAGTCCAGGCTGGGTTTAGAAGG